TCATCATCTTCACAATCCCTCATGAGGCGGCGGCGGACCGTCTCACAGGACTGGTCGCTGATGATCACGCCGCCTCGTCAAACGCGGCGCGCGCTCACCCGCAATTCGCCCTCTTCATTTGGCCGTGCAACCAGCGCCTCATCCGCCGTCTCACCAGCACGGTCAGTTCAGACACCTACAAGATCCTCGATACTCGATGCTTCCCCATCTGGCAGCGTCCTGCCGACACCAGAAAAGGCGGCTTCGGACACTTTGTCTGCTTCTACATCCACCATCGCCACCTCTAGCACCCCAGACAGCATCCGCACTACGCACTCCGAGCTCGCTCCAATCATTCCATTCTTTCCAATGCACTCGTCACGTGGCCACCATTCAGGAGACTGGACTGCTGACGATCTGTCGTTGGGCGCAAATGGCGAGGCGTCTCATGCCAGGCCCGATTCTGTTGCCAGACGGTCTGTATCGGACGCTCGCTTCGACGCTGGCAAAAGGGCCGGAGGCTGCTACGACCACTTTCTGCTAGGAGGTGCGATTCCATTTGACGATGTCTTTGCTCCATCATACCCGCCTTTGGTCTTACCCGCACATCCTGCAACACCACTCGCAACGAGGATGCTGAGCGCGCACTCTACCTCCGACATGTCGCCAATGTCTTCTGCTAAGGATGCGACACCAGAGCTAGAGACGCAGCAAGCTGTCGCGCCAATGTCAGTCTTCGATTACGCTTACCGTCTGCGAACTTCCGCAACAGTCCCCGCTGGCCGCATCGTTCTACGCGGACACGAGCCCAAAGCGGACACAGTGATAGCCTCTTCCCAGTCGATGCCTCTCCTCGACATTGTTCACCCTCGCGACCGCAACTTGGCGAGTCTCGTGGAAGAATCTGAGCCGCCATCTCCCGTTCAGAACGACTCGTCACTAGGTCAAGCAATGTATGCTGCTGCTTTATCAAGATACGCGGCTCTGGGACGATCCAACAGCCAGGCCAGTGCGCGCACGCGCCACAGCCGCATCCTCGTTCGGCCTAGAACTCCGCCACCGAGACCAGTCAGGCTCAGACCAGTGTCGACGTTGAGATCTAGCCCGACAAGAATGGCGAACAAGTACACGTCCAACACATCGACACGAGTGAAGAGGCGCTCGCTGGGCGAGTCGGTGGTATTAGCTGACAGCGCACAGGCTTTCAAAGACGTCTCTACGACGCGTAGCCAAATTGAAGCGGATTCGAATCGTCGAGTGGATCTTTGCGCTGGTGACTTTGCGACGTCTGCACTAGGTCGTCCTATCGCGCTTTCAACTCGCGGTGAGTGATTCAACGGAGGCTGCAAGCCGACGCTTTGTCGTGAAGCTGCGCACTGACCACTCTTCCGCTACCCGCAATCACAGAGAGCGTGACAAGCTCCCCCGAGCCACGTTTTACGCTAAAGAGAAAATCGGTGCCCGTCTTTGTGGAGGAAGAGGAGCAGAGTATCTCGCAGTCTCGTGAGACACTGCCAGCGGTTGTGATCGGTGCATCCGAGGCAAAGGTAGCGCCCGACCCTAGCAAACCGCCTCCGCTGCCTCCCAAATCGACCGCTCGAAAATCGCGGCCAGCGAGTCCGGTCAGAGGCTCTAGTCGCGCCGGGGCGCACGAGCAACCCATTTCCAAAATCGGCGAACCGTGCCAAGATCCAACGCCGCTTGTCTCGCAGGCTACGTTCGATGCGCGCAAGTCAATGCTGGATCCGTCGCGCGCAACACAGTTGCAAAGCGAATTGCAGCCGAGTCCAATTGCTGCCGAGGCTGATCTCATCTTCGGCTCCGCAATCTGGTCGAGTGCACCGCGGATGGAAACGCTCCAGGGTCGGCATGTCGCTACGAATCTCCTGCCTCGAGAGTTTGTGCACGGTGATCCTGATCCAGCGGCAAATTCGAACGACGCGGGCTATACGAAGCTCGGACGGAGGTCATGCGCGCAAACGCCGAGCCGTAATGCGATGGCCAGCTCCGAGATCACAAGCTGGCTTCAACAGCACGACAACGTGATGCAAGCACGAAGCGAAGCACCAATGGCTCTAGGCACCTCCGTTGAGCGCGCTGCAACACCGGGTCATCTCGAAGTGATGGGCTCGCGGGTCACGCCTGGCGCGACATTGCGGGAGAAAGGGTTGTCCGACTTGCCATGGCTGACTGATGCCCCCCTGAGCACCTCTACTGATGAGCGAAGGACAACGGAGGATGCTAGTCCATCGTTTCCCAACAAAGCGCATAGCGACACAGCGGCCATACGTGTCGACATCGAGCAAGCCGCACCTAGCAAAGCTGGTGTTCCTGGTTCGCAAGTGAATGCCGGCGGTGTCGATGATCTGCTCATGCCATCAAGATCGAAAGACGATGTGCAGGCCATTCTCAACGACTTTGCGTCAGAGATGAAGGCTCTCTCCTCGACGAGAGCACCGGCTACGGAGGAAACGCCAGTGAAGGATGCGCGCGATGACCATGCCGAAACGCTCACGTCCGGAAGTAAGTCGGATCAGTTCATTCGTCAGCCGTCGAGCGGCGGCAGCAAGACCAAAAAGCGGGCACCAGAGAACTCCCAGCGTGCAACACAGCATTCAAAGGCGCACCCGGAACGATCTGCTTCTGTGCGAACTGCCACCTCGTCAAAGAGTCGCAAGAAGACGAGCGAGGCGCGGACTTCGACGCAGCGGTCGGCCATATCGATGGAAGATCTGGTCAGCATTACTAGCAGCTTAGTAGAGCTTGGTGCCCTCAGAGAGCGCAAGATGTCGGCAACTCTCCCCGACGCTTGTGTTCCAACGGCTGACTCGTTCGACGACAGGCAACACCAGCAGCCGCGAGGAATCCGGCGCGTTCTCTCTGCCGTGTCGTTGAGGCGCAAAGGGAAGAGCGCGGACATGCCCAAGACACCATCTCAAGCGTCAGTGGTGGCGGCCGCATTGCGTCCCTCCAAGTCCTTTGTCAATTTGCATTCCTCGAGATCCGAGGAGCGCAAGCGTCCGCCAAGCTGCAAGAGGAACGATGGCGGCCGCGATGCATCGCGCTCCCACTTGCCTGTGCAGCAGCCAAATGTGCCAAAAGGGAGACACGGAGCAGAAACATTGCTCGAGGGGCAATGCCCTTCGGCCGCGATGCCGGTTCGTGTGTGCAAAGGAGCAGCTCTTCAAAGTCAGCAGAACAGCATTGGTGCAAAGCGATTCTCAAGTGAACAAAGAGATCTTGGTGCGACGCGATCGTCGAGTCTTCAAGACGATCTTGGTGCGTCCATACCGTCAAATCATCAGACCTACCTTGATGCAAAGCCATCCGCTCATCCAAAGGATCTTGACGCCACTTTATCGTCAACTCATCAAGAGGATCGATTTGAACAGCAGGACCCATCGGCTGCTGCACTTCCTCGGTCCTCCGCAAAGATCCAAGACGACGCACAAAGTACACACTCATCGTCGCATCATCATACTTACCACACCGAGCAAGACCGGAACAACTCTCGGCGTACCCTCTTGTTGGATCTCGGCGACGACTTGAGCGCTTTGCATGCCTTCTATGCGCAAAGCCCTCGGATCAGTGAAGTTCAAAGTGCCAGTCCAGACAGCCCCGCAGCCATTCGGTCCAGTTTGAGTGGGGAAAGTCTTGCTAGCCCTCCATCGCCTGCTACGCCGCACGACGGGGAAGGGATGCGCAGCCAGCATGTCAGCCCTACCTCCTCGCCTTGGTCCGTTGGCGGCGCGCACGCAGGGCTGATGAAAGCCTTTTGGAACACGGAGGAAGATAGCACCGGTTATAGGCGCCAAGACGCCGCTGTCAGCGACTGTGGGTACGCTGGCTCCGCACAGCGTCACGATTGCGATGCCTCTCTAGCTACACGCGACCCATCGGTAATCTCTGCGGCCAGACACGACCCAATGGGAATTTCCACTTTGGTCACGCGGCCATCCAGCAACACTGCAGGCGCTGCGATTCGAAAGACTCTTCATGGCGAGACGGGCCATGATGACGGCCAAAGTAGCGTGGCGTTCCCCTCCATCGGTCCCTTTATGTGGCCTGATGGTAGGAGCCCGACAATCTCTACAGCAAT